ACCATAGTTAATTAGATGAATAATATCAATGTTAAGAAGGGGGATACATCCGTGTTATTTTTACGAATTGCGCTAGGCCCTTTGTTTTGAAAACAATTAAAGGACAGAGACGTTAATTGATTAGGTGTGACCGCTGATGCTAAAACAGGTGTGACCATTTCATGATTTGTGACCATATACATAACGTCTGACGGACACAGTGATGGTCTGTTTTATTTTGAATGTACAAAAAATTAAGAAAAAAATTCATTAGATTTTATTCTACATTAAATGAGGGCGAACGGACCCTGTGCAAACAAGTTTTAGGGCGAGCGGACTCTGGGCGAACAAGAAATCAGGCGAACGGGAAATCGGGCGAATGAACATGGAACCGGGATGAATCGAAAGTAGCACACGATTTGTAAACAAAGTCAAAAAACAATTTACTTGAGAAAAGTTACACAAATCCTCAAATGCACCAGCGCAAATGATGTCCTAGTACTTATCCAGGCTAAAATATTCCAAATATATCCATTGAAAATAGCTTTTATCCAACTAAAACCCCAGCTATCTGCACACATTGAAACTCTTCGCCCAGAAAAGATAACTCCGCCTCGGATGACAACTTCCGTTTTAAAATTTAAAAGAAAAAACATATAATTATTGCTTTGTTTTTATCAACAGCTGTGCACATAAATTGTGCTAATTAATTGACATTAAAAGTATATCAACTTGCATACCATAAGTATTTTTCAGACATTTCGAATTTAGCACCATTTACTTAGCCTAGCTAAGTACCCGAGGCCTTCCAAGTGCACTCGAAAGGCCTCGGGTGCTAGCCCTTTGTCATCCGAGGCGGAGTTATCTTTTCTTGGGCGAAGAGTTTCACTATGTGCAGAAAGCTGGGGTTTTAGTTGGATAAAAGCTATTTTTAAATGGATATATTTGGAATATTTTAGCCTGGATAAGTACTAGGACAACATTTGCACTGGTGCATTTGAGGATTTGTGTAACTTTTCTCAAGTAAGTTGTTTTTTGACTTTGTTTACAAATCGTGTGCTGCTTTCGATTCTTCCCTTGTGTATTTTTATATGTGAAGTAGAGAACAGAGTGGATAAGATGCCCCTGTGGATTGAGGCGTTACCAGGTCCAGTACAACCTCTTGATTTGGCTATATAGCTTAAAATAGCTATATAGCTGTATTAAGTTATTCAGAATATCTTAATTTTACCATTCTTTTTCATTAATGTCAATAATGTGTAATTTTCTCAGCATGTACAAAAAGTCGCACCTTGGTGCAGTGATCTTGATATCAACCTTGAACTCTTCTGAAAATAATGCATGTAAAAATCACTCATCAAATTACATCTCCTTGATAGACTTTATAGTAATATACACAAAGTTCTATAAGTATTGGGACTATTTAATACAATTGATACAGTTACTTCTGCAATGAAATTATAAAGGAGACCAATTATGGTCAACATGATAATTGATTGGTAAAAATTCAGTACAATGACACCGTGTATATCCCAACATGCCAGGTGTATACTATGTTGTGCACGGGTTGTGGGCTTCCGAAGCGAATGAAAAGGGGGTCGAGGTACATTTTTTGTACATTTTCTCAACTTACAGATATTTTTCGCCAGAAAGCATATGCCTACAGAAGGAAGCATTATCTGAGGAGTATATGTAAACCTGTGAATCCACTGAACACTTTCTAGTTTTATCAAACACCTCAACACAATTCCGAGGATCAGTGCAAGATTAACGCAACCATTGTTATGATCAAATATCAGAACAATGCTTTGCTTTATCATCATTTTTATATTACTGTTAAATACATGTTATCTATATAAACGTTTGTACAAATCATCTGTAAATGAAAGAATTCGTATTTAAAGATATTGACAAAAAATTAGGGATGTCAACGAATAGTCGACTATTCGACTATCAGTCGAATGGACTGACGATTGAATAATGAAACGACATTTGAATATTAAATAAATGCAAGAAAAGGAAGTGATAAAGAACCTCTCATCTCAAAATTTGGAAAAGCGTCATTCGTCAAACCATTATGGTATATGTCCTCAGAAGAATTAGAGCTAAACACATTCACAGTTGATGAATAATTTTCCACATTATACATATGAAAAGTCCCGTAATTTCATACCACGATAATTATTTCTCAATTACTGAGTTTTCTTGTTATTGTGGTAAATTATGTAGCGTTATACTGGACTTTGAAAATAATTAATTGGACTTATACCAATTATAAATTTACTTATTACCTGTAAGAACGTTCAAATGTTAGGAACACACCAGGGGCCCGTTTCATCAAAGGTCGTACACCCAGTCGTAGCGCTACATCAGCGTAAAGTCGGGACTAGCACGAAGATTTTTGTTTCATTAAAGAGTGTATCGTTACGCCCAACTATATAAATTTAGGCCAAAATTTTACATCTACTCATGGGTAGCGTGAGTTGGGGTGTAAAGTTTAAAATTAAGCAATTTTACTGATTTTAAAACAATTTAGCGAGTTCTAAAGAAAAAGTACGGTTCTTGGAAATCTGTAAAATACAACCGATGCATTATTTGATTAATGATACTATGAAGATTGGGGTGGGGGGGTTGTTACAACCACTTGGGGATGTAGTTGACGTACTTAATATCTAAATAAATTTCTTATGAGAAGAAAAGAATTTCTTATATTAGAGATTTCTTCGACCACCCTTTCTTTCGTTTTGACTTTTGAGAATGCATTAACACACACTTGATTGCTGTATTGTATGTATAAGGTATTGTAAATCGACTGTATACATATATAACTATATTAACACCCCCGCTTGAAAAGCGGGAGGGTATTTAGTAATCGGGATGTCCGTCCGTCTATTACGCTTTGGGGTACCCATCTCTTATCCGCAACTCCTCTCATGTATACCACTGAATGAAATTTGATGAGACTCTCACAGAATCTTTATTATACCCCCCGCAAACGAAGTTTGGGGGAGTATATAGGAATCACCTTGTATGTCTGTCTGTCCATCGATCTGTCTGTGCAAAGGTGTCCGGTCCATATCTTTCTTACATAATTCGTTTCCGGTCCATATCTTTCTTATGGATAAACTTGGTAGGGCTTAAAAAGAAAATATGTTTGCTTCCTGTAGGTCGGGAATTCACCCGGGGTAATTTGAATGGGTCGGTCGGGTTACAGGAAACAAACATATTTTTTTTTATTTAGGCCTAGGTTCTCATTTCACACAAAGATTTCTCCTGACCTAAGGATGTGTCATGACCTTGGGTCAAGGTCATTTGAGCAAGTTCAAGGTCATTAGAAGAAAAATTTCATAATTCTTATCTGGTCCATATTTTTCTTATGGATAAACTTGGTAAGTTCTCATTTCACACAAAGATTGCTCATGACCGAAGGATGTGTCATGACCTTGGGTCAGGGTCATTTTGGAAAGTTCAAGGTCACTGGAAGAAAAATTTTATAATTCGTGTCTGGTCCATATCTTTTTTTATTATGGAAAACTTGAATCTACTCTTCACACAAACATTGCTCATGACCTGAGGTTGTGTCATGACTTTGAACCAAGATCATTTATGCAAGTTCAAGGTCACTGACAGAAAAAGTTCATAATTTGTGTCTGGTCTGTATATTTAGTCTATTTTTTTTTTATTAGGCTGTGCCTTTGTTTTATTTATAAAAAAATATAATGAGCAATTACATGTGCACTAAAAATGTTTTAGCATTTCTCTCTTCTCTCAGATCCATAAAATATTCATGATTTAGCACTTCTGAAAAAGCCAGTGGGGGGTATTTTGTCCCATTTGGACAGTTCTAGTTACATAATGTATTGCCATTGTGCCTTATTTTTTACTTTTTGATCCGACACATTTTGGGTTTCTCATTCCCATGGACACTGCCATTATATTGATATGGGTGGCGAGGGGTATCATTTAGGCATTCTGTTTAATTCACTAACAGGCACGTAGCATCGATTTTGAAAGTGGGGGGGCCAGCCACAGAAATTTTTTTTTTTTACTTACCTGAAAAAGTTGACAAGCAAGCAAAAAAAAAAAAAAAAAAAAAAAAAAAAATAAAATAAAAAGATAAAGTTTATTGACCGGGGTCGGAAAAGGGAGTTGGGGGGGGGGGGGGGGGGGGAGAGGCAAACTTTTTCCACTACCAATTTCTTTCAATATCCAGTTTTTCAGCTTCTTGATTGACTCAAAATGTGTAAATTTGTAAACCGTTTGCATTTTTATGCCCCCCTTCGAAGAAGGGAGGGCATATTGCTTTGCTGCTGTATCTCGGTCGGTCGGTCCATTTAGTTTTTTGTTCATTTTCTTCACTACCATTGCACATACTGAACTGAAATTTGGTATACAGGTTTATCAGGTGAATTTCTAGGTCAAGTTCTGTTTTAGGTATGATCGCACCATTTTTGACAGAGTTATGCCCCTTGGACTTAGAAAATTCCAATTATTTGCAGTTTCCTTACATTTTCTTTGCAGAGGTTGCACATATTGAAATGAAATTTAGTATACAGATTTTTCAGCTGAATATCTAGTTCAAGTTCTGTTTTGGGTAGGATCGCACCCTTTTTGTTTGAGTTATGCCCCTTGGAAAAATTCCACTTATTTGCCGTCTCCGTTCATTTTCTTTGCAGAGGTTGCACATATTGAAATGAAATTTAATATACAGATTTTTCAGCTGAATATCTAGGTCAAGTTCTGTTTTGGGTACGATCGCACCCTTTTTGTCAGAGTTATGCGCCTTGGACTTAGAAAATTTCCACTTATTTGCAGTTTCCGTTCATTTTCTTTGCAGAGGTTGCACATATTGAAATGAAATTTAGTATACAGATTTTTCAGCTGAATTTCTAGGTCAAGTTCTGTTTTGGGTAGGATTGCACCATTGTAGACAGAGTTATGCCCTTTTGGACTAAGAAAAAACCCAATTTGGGGGGAGGGGGGCACAAGTGTTTTACAAACATCTCTTGTTAAATTGAAATTATCTTTTTTTCATTAACATTATATATGATTTCCTCTTCTCATTCCAGGAAAGAGCTGCGGTAAAAATGGTCATGATTCAAGATAGCAACATCCCATCAGCTGCTGAAAAACCTCTGAGGATCTCAGGTGATCCCCAAAAATGTCAGAGGGCCAAAGAAATGGTACTAGACCTGCTTGCTGAAAAGGAAATGGAAGTAAGTACAGCCACCAGGTTTAAAATTTATTCTTGTGGTTTGATAAGTTGTAACGTTTCAGGAAAAATATTTTTATTATTTTGATCAATAAATAGATCTTTTGTATAACAGAATATGAAATTGAAGTACAGGTTTCTTAGCAAGGCAAAGAAAGTAGTCATTTTAAGCTTTAAGAAGTAAGAAGATAAAATGTAATTTTCATGAAGTTAACTAGAAAAAAATCTCTATTCAATGATTATAGTGGTATCCTTGTATTTTCAGAACATGAGTAAAGGATTCAATGACTATGGTTCATTTAGTGGTGGTGGTGGTGGTGGTCCCCCAATGGAGGTTAGTATTACAGTGTCTTTTACTTATAAATGATTATTTCATAGCACTGGGACAGTGTCTCTAGTACGATTCAATAAATACATAATGGTCAATAAACTACATGTACATGTATGTTCTTCCTACAGATTCCAGTGCCAAGAACAGCAGTGGGAATTGTTATTGGTAAAAATGGAGACATGATTAAAAAGATTCAACAAGAAAGTGGTGCCAAGGTTCAGTTTAAGGCTGGTGAGTAATTAGTGTTATTAAATGAAGCACTCAATTAGAACCCTTGTAGATGTCTAAGCTACGAGTGTGTCGGAAGAGTGCAACATCAAAGCAAGGATTCGCTAACACCATCTGGACACAAGTCCCATAGATGGAGTTTGATAGTAGACCTTGCTACACTGCCTTTTTAGATTAAAATTCCTATAAAATTGTTTTGGATAATGTATTTGAAAAAAAAAATTATGTAATTTTTCTTGTGATTTATAGATGATGGAAGCAGTCCAGAGAGAGTGTGTGCCATTACCGGAGCCCCAGACAAAGTCCAGACAGCTGCCTCCATGATCCAGGACCTTCTCAATGATTATAATGTAGGTTAAAAGTCTATTGCACATAACAGTTTATCTCTCAATTAAAAAAAAATAATGGTAAAAACAAGAACGTTCAACTTGTAGTTAATAATTATGTTTATGATATACTAAGAGAGCTATGATCATGTGTTTTACAGCAGAGAGAAGGAGGAATGGGTCGTGGTTTTGGTGGTGGTCGGGGTCGTGGTGGCCCCGGTAGAGGGAGGGGTGGATTTGGAGGGGGACCTGGCAGGGGCATGGGTCGAGGAGATGGATTCGGGGGAGGATACCAGGACGAAACCCAGTTTGCTGTACCCGCAGACAAGTGTGGCTTGGTCATTGGAAAAGGTTTGTAACATTTTGTTTCCTATTTAAAGATGGGTATTATTCAAGTGAATAAAATAAATAGATTTAACATTTGATAAATTTATATTGCAAATTGGTCTCTTTTTATTTAGGTGGTGAAACCATCCGTCAGATAAACCAACAGTCTGGGGCACATGTAGAGTTGCAGAAACATCCCGGGCCTAACCCCAATGAGAAGTTGTTTAACATCAGAGGAACTCCTGATCAGATTCAGCATGCCATTCAGATGATCAGTGAGAAGGCTGGAATACCTTATGTAAGTCGGTGAAGATTGTACAGAGTTTTTGCACATTGGCACGGGTATACAGATACTGTGTCTTCATACCTGACTAAACTTTGTGCTAAAGTAACCCATTCTGCAACGCTATCTGTCTTTGGCAGCTGGTTACTAATATTTATGGGACATTCCTTACATTTTATATTTATGAATACATAAATCACTATTCCATTACTTAATAAAAACGTTTATATTTTGCTTACTATAAAGACTAGGGTGTCAAATTTTAAGTTATG